GTCACTCACCTTTTTATGACCGGACAAATCAACTTATCGATGATTGGCCAGTATAATCAGGATGATATCAAGCTGTGCCACAATTCCACAGGTGAGCGTCAGGGTGACTAAGGCTGCGCGCAGAGCACGGTGGGTTGTGCGAACCTTAGTTGCATTGATTGGAACATCCTTAATTGCGGGGAATGCCGTGCCACGGGTCCCCTCTTCTGTTCGACTCTAATGACATTCATCGAAAGACCAACCCAGTTCATAATCTACCGCAAGAAACCAGAGAAGCGAAAATGCCTGAATGTTTCGGTAACGTCGGGTGCTTTAATAAAATCAACATCGTCCAGGGCCTTCCCACCACCGACTATAAATCCGAAATCCTAACTTGGCTATCTCCACTTCAACCCAGCACACGACACCGGGAAGTACGGAACCGCCGGATCGGCAACGTTGGAAAATGGGCACTGCAAACCGCTCAATTTCAAATGTGGCGCGATGGTACTCTGCGAGAAGGGTCGGGTCATCCGACCTTGTTTTGCGACGGCGATCCGGGAGTTGGAAAGACCTACATTAGGTGATAGAGAAGACTCAGAAAGAAAGACAAAGATTGTGACACTAATAAACTGCGGTGTTAGTTCACTGGTGGTAGACAACTTATGCGATCACGCAAGAGTCTGCGATTCTGCAATCGCGTGTTTCTACTTCGACTATGCTGCTCGGATAAAGCACTCTGCGGCCGATGTACTCGGCCCGTTGCTGAGACAGATTGTCAGCGGTTCGGAGAGCATCCCAGAAGAGGTATTACAGAATTTTCAAGACCAGAAGGTGATTGAGGGCCAGGGGCTGCAAGTCTCCGATATCACCAAGATGTTACAGGCTGTTACATCATCAAAGCGCACATATATTTGCGTTGATGCCATGGACGAATGCGAGGAAGAGCATCGGCCGGACATCCTTGATTCACTCAGACAAATCCTTGAGGCCTCCCCAGACACACGACTATTCGTAACCGGAAGGCGATATATCAAGGATGAGGTTCAGAAGCATTTTTCTGGGAAAGTTGCAACTTTATCCATAACGCCCAACGAAGATGATGTTGTAGGATACATCCGGATGAGATTGAGCAAGGATATATTTCCCGACGCTATGAATGATACTCTGGAGGCAGAAATAATGAAAATTGTTCCTGAGAACATGTCGGAAACGTACGTAGGAACCATATATATTTTAGATACTTATCATGAGTGATCCGCCGACAAATATATCTAGATTTCTACTAGTTTCTCTAAGCATCAATGCTATCCTAAAAGAAACCACTGTCTCTCTAAGGCGGCAAAGGCTTAGGGCAACGCCTGCAGGCCCGGATCTAGGAGGTGTCTATAGCGCAACTGTGGCACGGATAGAGGAGCAGGGTCGGGAGCGAAAAAAACTTGGGATGGCAGCACTGATGTGGATTACGCATTCAGAACGCCCATTGCAAGTCGACGAATTGCTTAATGCCCTAGCGATCGAAATAGGATCAGGAACTCTTAGCCCCGGTAATGCTCCCTCTATGCGGACGTTATTGAGTTGTTGCTTGGGACTCGTCACCGTTGACGAGGAAGCCTCGACCGTCCGCTTGATCCATGTCACTCTCCAAGAATATATATCCACTCGTCCCGGCCTGTTTGATGGAGCACACTCGATAATCGCCGAAACCTGTCCGTCATACCTAAATTTCCAGCATATCAAGGACCTTCCGCCCACACTCGATGCTGCGCCCCAATCAAGCCCCTTTCTTCAATATTCTTCTTTATACTGGGGAGCCCACGCAAGGAGGGGAGCCACCAGTGGCGTTATATCTCTTGCGCTTAATTTTCTCAGCCAATTCGAAAACCATTTATCCACAAAGTTGTTTTTAATGGAGATGTTGCGCATGATTCGGTGGTATATCCGTGATATCCCAACCGATGGCCGTTTTACGGGGTTTACCGGGCTACATTGTGCATCGCTTTTCGGAATTGTTGAAATTGTAGCCACCCTCACCAAGAAGAAAGACTACAAGATCGACAATCGAGATTTCTTGGGCTTAACACCGCTCATCTGGGCTGCTATATGTGGGCAAGAGAAGGTGGCAAAACTGTTATTAGAGCGGCAGGACCTCGATCCGGACAAGCCAGACACATATCTTCGTCGAACAACACTCTCATGGGCCGCCGAGATGGGACATGAGGGAGTGGTGAAGCTATTGCTTGGCCGGACATCTGTTAATTCCGACCCCACATCTAGTTGGTTGGGCAAAACACCACGGGTACTAAATCTGGCCTTGGGAAAAAACGTGTCAACGCCAACACGCAAGATATATGGGGCCAAACAGCGCTCTCGTTGGCCGCGGGGAAGGGGCACGAAGGAGTAGTGAAGCTACTACTAGAGCAAAGAGATGTCAACCCCGATAAGCTAGACAAGGATGGTCACACACCACTCGCGTTGGCTGCGAGGCGTGGGTACGAGGGAGTCATGCAGCTGCTATTGGAACGCAACGACGTCAACCCTAATGTGGAAGACGACAGCGGCCGAACAGCAATATTCTATGCTGCTGCAAAGGGAAATGATGCAATGATGCAGCTACTACTCAAACGGAAAGATATCGACCCTAACCTAGAGGATAGAGACGACCGAACACCCCTATTTTATGCTGCTGCAAAGGGACATGGAGGAGCCGTGGAGTTACTACTGGTACAAGGAGATGTCAACACCGATAGGCCTGACATCAATGGCTATTCACCACTATCGATGTCGGCGATGAGAGGGCACGAGGGAGTAGTAAAGCTACTACTGGGACACGGTGCCAAATCTGACACACCAGACAAAGCGGGCCACACGCCACTCTCGATGGCTGCGAATCGGGGGCATGAGGGAGTAGTGGCGCTCCTAGTGAAACGGACGGATGTCAACCCCGATAGAAAAGACGACGATGGCCATACACCGCTCTCGTTAGCGGTGGTGAATGGGTACGATGGAGTGGTAAAACTATTGCTGAGACACAAAGATGTCAATCCCGAATCACAAGACAAATTGGGCCGCACACCGCTCTTGTATGCTGCTATCGAGGGTCATGAAAGGGTTGCCGGGATACTCCTGGCACTGGTGAATGTCAGCCCCAATAGGCGAGACAGCGATGGTCACACACCACTCCTGGCAGCTGCAAGGAGTGGGCACGGGGGAGTAATAAAACTACTACTGAGATGCAAAGATGTCAACCCCGACGCACAAGACAAACATGGCCGTACTTCACTCTCGATAGCTGCAAGCCTAGGACACGAGGGAGTGGTGGCGCTACTGCTAGAGCGAGGAGATGTCAACCCCGAGAAGGGAGATAACATGGGCCGAACGCCACTCTTGTATGCTGCCGCCAAGGGACATGAAAAGGTAGTTGAGCTACTACTAGCACGAAAAGATGTCAAACCCGACCGACTAGACAAATCAGGCCGAACGCCGCTCTCGCTAGCTGAGAGCTACGGGAACAAGAGAGTGATGGAGCTACTGCAGGCGCGGCGCCCCACAACTGTCAGAGCCAGGACCTTGCCTACAATCTCGCCGCACAGGTTTGTGCCATATCCGCCGCCACACCGTAGACATACCGCACAGCCCGACTGTCCTCCCTCCCCTCAGCCTTAATGGGCTCTTCAGAACTTACAATACCGGTATCCCTTTGGGAGCATCAATGCTTTTCTTTCCATTCCCCCCTTTCCCTGCCCGGCCCTTCCCGGGACCCCGGTTCATAACTTATCCCTGGTGGAATTGGTCAAAGGGGTTTCCTGAGAATGTACATATATACCACTTCTTTTAAGGCTTTCTAGAATTTCCCTAGTTTGGGCTTTTGTCCATACCGTTCGGTATTATAGTGGTGAGGTTCTAAGATTAGGGTTATTTTCCCGTTTATTACATTATTTTTAACCTTTTCCTTCGCTGTATTAAACTCTGTTTCACAGATTTTTCGTTTCCTCTATTTCCTTGTCTTCTCCACTTTCTCCCTTTTTTTTTTGTCTTCTCCCGCTAATACGAGGCGGATAGATACTCTCTACCATAATGCTATTCCTAATAATAGATAAGTCATCTTTGGGATTCACGGTAGGGAGCCCAACTTATTGAATTCAAGTGTGCAATGATTGTTCGCGCCAACCCTCGTTCTTAAAAAAGAATTTACCTTCCACCGCATCTGAGCAGAGCAATAAGCTAGCACCTTACGAGTAATTATCCCGAATAGATTTAGTAGAGGACGGACGAATCCTTCTTTCTTTCAGCTGGTTTCCGAAAAAACCCAAGTCGTCCGCAAGGCAGGAGCTTAGAAGCACGATAGCACATATATTTACTTATACATCACACAGTCCCACCACCCACCGACGATTAAATTATGCTCATGAGAAATAATGCATCCTCAACCTCGCAACTCCAGCTCCCGCAGCACTATTCCCATATTGAGACTTTTTTTAAACCCCCCCCGATCAACTCTCGACTCCTGCATTATCTTTCCCTCCCCCACCTTCGTGCCCTGGTGGCTCGGCATATCATGGAAGAGCTCTACCGGGTGTCGGTCAGACGGATTATGAATGCCTCTTGCATTTGGGGTTTTTGGCCATACCCGTCTAACCGGGAATCCCCCATGTCTTGGGCCATAATTGAGAAAAGCACAAGTGAGGACAATTGATCCCCGAGGATCGGTGAAACCTCTCCAACCCCCACATGGCAAACACGGCTGTGATATATCATTTGGCCTAACCGGGGTACTGCGCGTTTGGAAGAAAAAAGATTAGCACTTCGGGCTACTCACGCCTCTAGAAATTGACAAAAAACTCACAGCTCATCCGGGTGTCTTGTGCTTATCGAAGGAATGCATGACTGACCAACGTATATTCCAAGCCTAGAGAAACAAAAAAAGGAAATCTCCTCCACACGTACGGTGGACAGATACCCGCGGGGGATGGGGTGGGCAAGGTACCCGTTCCATCCCTAGCGCGAGATACCCATAACTCGCGCATACAGGGGGGAGAGGGGTTGATGTTAACAGAAATAATTGTGAAGAAATAAATCACGGCAGAAATAAAAGCGCAATCAGACGTCCGCGGCCCCAGCACGCCGCGGTGACCAGAATTCCCACCCGACCACAAAAATGGAGGGGGGAGCAGAGCACTATGTTATACTTCTCCCGAACCTTTCCGGGAGAGTAGGTCAAGCTCTGCAGGGTTCACACTTCATCCTTCTGAGATATTCCGAGTTTTACCGGTGGCCGGATGTCGCCGAGAGAAACTGGGCATGAGAAATGGGGACACGCGCGGTGATTCAAACTGGGGGTGTTACGGTACGCCGCAGAACGTAATCCACTGCGCGGGCAAGTGGGAATACTCGAGTGATCGTTCATGACGATTTTCCCCTCCTTAGGAGACCCCGTGGTCGTGCGTCCTCACTCAACAATAACCAATGAAGTTATGCACGTTTTGACCCTTCGTCCTTGGTCTGTATACCAAGTGTCTATTCCTCGACGGAGGTAATCCAAGCCAAGTACAGGGGAAAACTCGGGGGGGTGCTTGGGTAATGAAGGGCGGAGGGAGGTGTTTGGATAACACAATCTACCAACGAGCTGAGCCAGTAAAGGTCAAAGGCAAGTTTTGTATGGCACTAGTGTAAGAATTCTGCACTCGAACCCGTTTGGCCACAAAACCTCGAATGGCCCCCTACCGGGTGTTGTCCATGTATTCGGCAGTAGGGTATACTACCGAATTTCCGCGAACAATGTTATATCACAGGAGCATGCTTGGGTGTCCATGCGAGCTTGGGGAGTGTATTTATTTCTGGTAGTTTCTTATTTGTTGCGGGTTTGTGAAGCTGCTTCGGCCAGAGGCCCGTAGCATATATCATTCCCCACAGAAAATATGCATTCACGATTGAGGTTGTCACTATGGTGCCATCCCATACCCCCCTCTTCCACAATCTCTTCCCGAGAAAGTCACCTACAACAGCGCCTTCCCCTCCCTCCTCGGCTGAATCCTAACCAACGGCCTAAAATAAACCATCAGCCTATCACCGTCTCACCCTCAATCGCCCTCTTCGCCGCCCCAAGGTATTCTTTAACATACTCAATAGCTTTAGGCAACTCCGCCCTCCTGAGAAATTCCAAACTAGCCTCCCACTCCGCCACCCTCCTCCTTTCCTTCTTCTCCACGATACGCACCTCCCCAGCGGGGCCATACCCCATGACCTGTCCATCGCTCGCCTTCCACGCATTCCCGCTATGGCAAAACTCAAGCACGTGTTTCTGAAACGCCTCCGCAACGACTCTATCCTTTTCCGGGAGTTCATAGCCCGGGTAGAGGTATAGTAAGTCTACGCCGTGATGTGCTCTGCGGAACTCGGGTGTGTAGGGGTTCGGCTGGTCGAAGCAGTACTCGTAGACTCTCTTTCCAGCAGAACGCCAGCGCGAGGCCAATTTGTGCGCAGGGTAGCTGAAGACGCTGTCGCCGATGAACGCAAATGCGGCGGCGCGCAGGGCGGACGCCGAATCTGGGGCTGGGGCTGGGACCTTGTAAGCCTCGAGCACGCGGGTGTTGTGTGGTTGGACCCCCGTGAAGGCTTGGTGAATTATGGCCGCTGAGGCTGGGGCGATTTGGAGGTACCATACGAATCCCTGGGTAGGTGTCTGCTGTGAGATTCAGGTATTACTACAGAAGGGGGGGAGGGATTTTCAGGAGGAGGGAAGGACCTCGAAGTCACAATCACCGATTATAAGGCTCTCGCACCAATCTGGTATACCGGCCGCTTGGTCCCAGGGTGATGTGAAGAATGTACCATCGTCGGAAACACACCACATCCCCACTTTTGCCTTAATAGACGCGCTAACCAGCTCCCGCACACTTGCATTGCGCAATTTCTCCACCCAGTCTTCGTCTTTTTCCCCACTGCCACGCTCAAGGAAGTCCGCCACCCTCCGTGTCGTCTGGATCATCTTCTCCCTCGGCTTCGGCGCACCGGTATCCAAGCACCCGCTCTGCATTATTGCCCTCTTGAACAAGCCCCTGCCAATGGGCGAAGAAGCATGCAGCTGAGCATCAACACCCAACGAACCGGCGCTCTCCCCGGCGAGTGTAGTGTTCCCGGGGTCGCCGCCAAAGCCAGAAATATGCCTCTTCACCCAAACGAGTGCGATCTGCTGGTCGAATAATCCGTTATTACTCCCCTCGCCATCGGGCAACACTCCGTAGCCAAACACGTTCAATCGGTAATTTATAGCCACGCAGATGACTTCCTTCCCCTCCGTCACACTGGCAGCGGATAATCCAGCAGGGTCTTGCAGCGAGGAACACCCGGCGCCTACGCGGTTCGAACCACCGTGGATGCTGACGAGGACGGGGAGTTTCTTGCCGGAGAGGATGTTCGGGACATGTGATTTTGGCAGTGTCACCGCGAGGTTCAGACATTCTAGCTCGTCGAAGGTGAGGCCAAGTTTGCCTTTCTGGAGGGGTGCGGGGATACCGAAGAGGTCGGATTCGAGGCTTGTGGGCTCTTGAGGGCAGATTGGACTATCTTGTCATGTCAGCAAGCACCAGTAGGGTGTGGGGAAGGCATATCTATCTCACCCGTGCCGCGTGCAATCTAATTCACTAGGATATCCTTCGAACAATTCCGCCCGGGCAAACCGTCTAGGCACACTAGCGAACTTCAAACCACGGAATTGAACCACCCGGTCCCCGAATAGTGAGATACCCGTCAATCGGGAGTGTAGTGATGTATGAGACACCGTTGCCATAATGAGATCCGGTCAGAAGGTGATCCTAATAAAATACAAAAAATGGTGGGAATGAACCGAAAAGGTGAGCTGGTCTGATCGATGGAGCCCGGACAGCTTATGCTCACCCCCGATTCCATGCCTATCAGTAAGTTACTCGAGTAACTCGATCTACGCTCAATATGCGTAACTCTTACGTTATGTCAGGGAATAAACTGGGGTACCGTAGGGAGCCTCGGCTAGACGATGGACGACTTCCCGCATCAGTTCTCAATACTACTACGAGTATGGTACAGTATCTCAACCCGTATGAACTTGGTAATCATTAAATCCTAGAAGCCAATGTTTACTCGTGCAACTTTCCTCACGAGTCTTTTAGGGAAGAGATGTGGCCGAGCGAAATGCCAAAAAATTTCTTCAAAATGGCTACGGGAAGGGAGACAGTGGTTTCCGGAGACCTTACAGTAGTGGGGCCCTGATGAGGACAAGTACCCGAGTAACTTAACCTCTCACAAGGATCCACCACCCAAGGTTTACCCAAAAATAGAATGCTCCCACCTCTCCCTGTACAAGTACTGTACTCGTACTCTACGAGTAGGAGCAGTAACTTATTACAAGCGCTGCGGATACAAATCGTTCCTGACGAGTAACTTACGTACTTCCCGCATTAAACACCTCCCATCACCCATCCCCCCGCCAACACACGCAGCTTATTCGAGTTATCCGACCAAAGCAAAAACCCTCACCCACTCACCTTTTCTTCCGAACCAACAGAATCCCCCGCATATCATAACTCCTCAAGGGGGCGGAAACGTCTATAGTAGTGACGCGATGTCCGGGACCACCATATCACAGCCAGGGCAAAAAGCTCGGGAACCCTTCGTACATGTAGCAAGTGAGCGTCGGAAGACAAGTAGTGACAAGGGTGCTTTGTTCTCGAAAAGCGGGAAGAGGCTGTAGACAGGAGGAAAACGATACGGATAACGGGGGACCACGGAATGTGGGGCATGGTTTGAGACTTGGTTGTTTAGACAACAGAATAACTTGCAATGCTGGATAAAGGTCAGGCAACTTGGCATTGCCGATCGATGTCGGCGGGAAATTCACATGGACATCACGAGTAGTCTACTAGCAGTAGCAGAAGATGGCTAAGGCACGGTTGTACTAGTCACCGAGAACACTCGAGTAGTACTCTATGGCCAAGTACCAGTACACGGAATAGCTCCGAGCTTTTACTTGGTTCACCTGTCTTAACTTCGCCCAGCTCCTAACTGCAGGGCCGCCACCCCCCGTACATTTTAAACCCGCCAAGGAATTTGATACTCCCCAATTGACACAAATCGTGATTCTACGCACAATCCATTCTAACCCCCTCACTGTCATTGGAGATTCCCACGTTCAAATAAAACAGCAGGCTAGACTTCCATTTCGGAGTGAAACCAGGATGAAGAAGTGTACTTCACCATACAGAAATGTGAATGGTTGAAGTAGAAAAGCATGCACTGGTAAAAACAGCGATCAGATTTGATCGTCCAAGAATAGTCTCTGATGTAAATAGACAACAATCCCTTCCCGTATCCTCCACCAATTCGCTTTCCTTGCACCCGGTATAAGAACCTAGTCCTCCACCGCCAAAGCGACTACTACCCAAGCCGCTAGACCGGAGCTGCGTTATTTTCTTAGCAATGCAGCGAGAAAGGCTCAACCCCAGTATCCGGGCTCCGTTGCAAGCCCCCACTAAGTGACTGGAACTCTGGACGGTATAGTACTACGTGATGCTACTCCAGGGGACTGACCAAGTAATTCGATAGATTATCTCCCATGCTACGATTATTCCGCATCACTTGTTTCAAGACTTATTTTACCTGTATAAAAAAAAAAACTCAGTAACTTAAGCTAGCAACTTACTACTATTCAGTGCGTGATGATATTTACATCCTTCTTAGGTCTACCCGAGGCCACGATTCCTTACTGTACCATTTTTCATCAGTTTGGTTCTCAATCTTTACTATTTGGCCATGCATAAGTAGACTTCTGAGTAGTCTTGGTCAAATGCTCAATTGATTTACCAGTTAGTGCTGGAGGCGAGCGATAGTGATCTCTCTGAAACATATGGAGTCCATCTTCGCTTCCCCCAGTTTCAATCAAGTGTTAATCCAATAGCTGAAGTTGAGCAAAGTGACTTGAATATACATATCTCGCCTGGTTGCGCACATATGCGATTTCCACTCATTCACACATAATAAACCGCCTTCCGTCAGACAGACTGATACACCGATATAAGATCTTACCCCATCTCACTATCACAGCTACGCCCCAACTTTGGGGGGTGGGCAAGTACACGATAGGGATTTATTACTCTCATGCGAGTGAGAAGGGGGCATCAAGAGCAATACGTCCTCCAAGAAGGAAAGATAATTTACAAATATTACTCACTACTCCTTGCCTAACCCCAAGATCCCCTAATTTTCAGCGGGGGCATTATAGTAGTTGCGACAACAATATCGGCGATTGAAGAGTCACAGAGAGCCATGAGTCGTATCCCTGCCATGGAGCCACGGGTCATCATATCTCATTCGGGGAATTATTTGCCACTTAGCGAGTGAGTCAGAAATGGGTGACATCTTGTGATCAGTTTGTCTCAATCTGTACTATCGGGTTCCAAATAGTGCTTGCTATCGTAGCGAATACCGGTATCGTGTATCTTTTTACCAATTGCGCAGTGGCGTGTGAGCAGAGCCCGAAAGGTTATCCAGACTGGCAAGACAGAAATTTCATGCATCCCCCTTCAGCTTTTGAGACAAAGGTTAATCAAGAACTTTTTGTCAATGATCAAAATTAACGAAAGGTCCGCGACAAGGTCCCTTAAGAAACAAACTCCATAGAACTAATCCTAACCAGCTCTTTTTCAATTCTATCGATTCTGATCTGTTGTTGAGTGGGTTTAGTTGGGAACGGGAGGGTGAGCATATTCTAGAAGGGGAACATAAGTTATGATACATATAAATTTATGCCAACGCGCGAATTTAGATTTATTACTAAGCGAGACGCGATCGTCGGTTTTCTGTGTCCGGTTCCATAATGACATTGTCAAACGCTCCTTAGTCAGCTAATCCAGGCGCATGAGGTTTGTTCCGTGTTATCATATATAGCAGTCTCGGGAACAATCGGAGAGGAAATTCCGTTTCCGATACGATACCCTTTCCCGCCAAGCAGCCAGGGCACAAATCCTGCAGTGCCGGTAACAAATGCTTTCCCTCTTCTTGCCTTATCTTTCCGCTACCCCACCGACGAGAACGGGCAAGCGCTAGTGCCCCTAAGTAAGGATTTCATTCCCGCTTCCACCTCAAAATCGCAATAAAACGCCATGTCCCAAATCTATAGCCAGGACTACCGGTACTCGAGTAAATCTTGGGGCTCCCATTTTTGATGCAATCGCAAGTTTCACCTCAGCCGCTTCTTATCTCAACGCAAAAAGGGTCTGCCGATTCCCCCCCGTTAATGCGGTATCACTCCCACCTCGTGGCAGGACTGATTCGCCCTGGGGCCTAATTCAGGAAGACTGGTCTAAGACTTCAGTCCCAGGGCTTATTGTCCCTCCCCTCCCACGCGATTGATGGCGCAAATAACGCATGGGTGAGGGTGAATTGAACCCCTGGGCTCCTGCCCGCTGCACTGCACAGGGGGTGCCTTACCGGTGATCGCTCCTTGACATCATCCAGCCACCATGCCAGCTAGGCGTTTCGCCATATGTCATGGGAGCTAATCCCCAACCTTCTAGAAGGTGGATTTGGGTTTGTACCCCCTGAATTAAGGGACAGTTGTTTAACAATACAAGTGATATCTGATGCGTTATCAGTAATCACATATCATATTATTCTACCTGAAAAATACCGTATAATATATTTGAAAGCGACACGCAGGGCCCTTAGGGGTTTGGCCAGGAGCTTCGGGCCGTAGATAATGGAAGAGCATTACTACTGGGTAATTTAGTGACGAGTTTGACAATCACAAATAAGTTCCAATTTGGTCTCCATTTTCTGCTCCAGTGCTCGCCCAGGGCTGCTTCTATCCTATTCCACCGCAGCCAACCACAGCTGTGCACTATGAATCCTACAAATAACTCCATTAAAGCCCATATCGAGAGCCTCATTTCCATCGTTAGTATCATTTACCAATATTTTCCAAGTTCATTTGCGTCAAAGGAATATATAACCAAGATCATATCATACAAGTGCCGTGGATTCCACAGCAGTACCGTACAGTAGCGCCCGCACTTAATTGGCTCAATACTCCGTCCGCCTCAATCCTGCGCCCTGTTCACTCTTTCTCTCACGCTAATCATTTATCTCATACTTCGCTCTATTGAGCAAACTGCTCCACCGGAACACGAGGCGCCTACTCCTCGACAATTACAGTTGAGTATGCGCTCCTCCAGCCCAGCTCTTGTTGCATCAAACGGCAACTGCAAGAAAAGCCCCAGCCCTCTACCAGTAGGGAGGGAAATGCACATCTAAAAACTGATTAAAGCATTCCCGTCCTTGCATAATTGACCACCGTTCCTCAAACCGCCTCAAAATTCGGAAACCACATATTTGGGCAAAAAACTTAAGCCCTGTTTGGTATACCGCTGTCAAAAAAAAAAAAAAGACATTTCGGCCCCGTTTGGCGACAGGGCCCCAATAATCCCAATTTCGAGACGGTGATTCGCCAGAACTTTCTCCTCTCTCTTCTTTTCTTATTACCCGCTTCATCCACCCCTAGTGACGAGTCGAATTCCCAGCCTTCATGGCAAATGTTACTATGACAATTAGGAGGTCTCGAAGGAAGCCATCTTCGATACCAGTTATATTTTTGCTCTTTCTTTCTTTCTTTCTTTCTTTCTTTCTTTCTTTCTTTCTTTCTTTCTTTCTTCCATTCAGCTCCGCCCGCCAGGGATGCCCGGTTGTTCCCGGGCGGAAACGAAACGGATTAGATGAGCCGGCTACAGCCATCTGATCACGTTTTTAGATAGAATCCAATTACACAATAAAATATAAGATTTCTCGGCTCAAAAACCCCCGGACAGTTCCTAGAGTACCACAACTTAACGGTTAGGCTACTCCCCAGCTTGTGATAATGGGGTCTAATTCTCAACGAGGGGCATTTTGCAATTCCAGCGAAAGACCTTCTGCATTCCTTGAGCGCCCATCATACCCAACCAAACCCCGGTTCCTGACTCTGTGCTCTACATTTGTATTATTTTCCAAATCCCTCGTTCTCTCATTCTCCCATGAGTGGGTAGATTCACATTGTATATTTTGGGGGGCAGAAACTACTAGCCTGAGCATACTGATGCAACAATGAAGAATAATAATAGCTTTTGAGCCGGTCTGAGGTTGTCGATGCATGAAAGGCAAATTATAGATCCCTGATGGTGATGGACTTTCCAACCCAACACTTGCCGTTATTGGGAATATTCAAGGCAGTCACCAGAGTTCGAAGGGCATCCCCATTCTATCATAATAATAGAACATGCTCGTAGCGAATATCGGTATCGGGTTATCGACTATTGGCCGTCATCGAGCTAAGCACTGATGTCGTATAATAAGCGCACTACCGAAGGAGCGATAGCTCATTTGGTGTCCGCGGCAAAAAGCAGAGAACTAGTCACAAGCAATCACTCGTGTTTCGGTTTGCGCTAACCCATCAGGGTATACTTTGGGGGATGCTGACAGAGCTCACGTTGGCCACAACTCCGACTCCACACCTTTACAAAAATCCATGCATACATCTCTTCACTTCTTTACTCGAGCACAGCAATGTCCGCCCTCCAGATTTTCTTTTCCAGTTTGATCTTCAATACTAGTCTTTGCACTTCTCTCATCGACTCTTCAGCGCCCTTACAGGTAACTCTTTATTTGGATCTTACTCTACGACATACCGATACTCGGATAATATTGTACAGCTGGGCCCAAGCCCCCACCCCACCACCCCCACAAGCAGTATGCCGGTGCTAAAGTTGTGTGCTAGTGCTCCGCCTACACCCCACGTTCATGCAGCCAAGGAAAGCGCCAGCTCTTGGCTCAAGCACACCAAAAAGGGACTGTACTCGTACGGTACTCGAGTGCAATATCAGCTGCATTACCCAACACACCACTTGTACGAGATTGGCCACTTGACAACCTCACAAACCACCTCCCCAGCCCACTCACCCCCCAAAGCCTCAATACTCACATGGCCCACATGCCTCCCAAACTTCACCACCCCATCATCCTCCCTCCACATATCCACCACTATCCCCCGCGAGACCGTAGCCGGCGGCTGCTCGAGTATCACAGCTGGCCTAGCCACTTCCACCGTCAGCGCATGAGCATGGGTGATCCGGAAATACGATTCCCAGCCCTTGACCACGAACGAGCCAGCGTCCGGAAACGTCCAGTCTTTGGGGAAGGCATATGAAAAGTAATTCGATACCAGCAAACCGTCTTCCGTCCGGCGACCCGTCTCGCCGGCGCGTAGGAGGCCCGCGTAATTTGCGTTCTTGTCCATGAAGGACTCCGGTGCCCAACGGTACCCATCCAGGTCCATTCTGGGAACGTTCGTGAATATTAGGCTTGGCGGGAAGTTGTCCACGCTGTCGATGAGCACTTTCATCCTTGCTATCTGGCTCTTCGCGGATAGGATGTGTAGAGGGTCTATATCCAGTAACGTGGCCACACAAATTGTCTCGTCATCCATCTTACTGGAAAGTCTACCCCTAAGCGCACCGGCAACACTCGGCAGCGCCGAATGACCCACACCGAAGCGATAGCGGAGCTTTTGAAAACTCGTCCACCCGGCGAAATACACTGGATGGAAGGAGGCGGAGTGGTTGGTGTCCAACCGGTACAGCAACGTGTGATCAAGTATATCCGGACAATCGGGATGTCGCGATAACGTTTCTAGAGCGGATTCCATAGCCATCTCGTCCTTGACGAACTCATCCGCATCCGACGCCAGCGCTCGGAAGACTCGAGTCTCGAGCGGTAAATTGTCAGCGCGCGGTCGCCCAAAGTGCTTGCCGCACAACTTTACCGGGGAGTTTTCGTAGTACCAGTTATCCGGGAGCGACTCTGCGGCGATGGCCTTGTCGCGGAACTGGAAGTAGAGTTCCTCGGCGAGCATGCCTTCCTGGAGAGTCCAGAGGCGCTGCGTCCAAGGCGTGCAGCGGATTCGCATTAATAACTCGTCGGCGGGCACCCCCGCGCTCGTGCCGGACAGTGAAACGTCGAGAACGAGAACTTTTGCCGCGGAGTCGTAAGTTTTGGCCATTCTCCGGATCGCGGTTTTTCGGGTCTCAGCGTGGAGAGGGACACACACTGTGTCCAGCCAGAACGGTACCGGGGATGCCGGATCGCGATCCGGATGCAGGGCGTTCACAAGTCCTTGGATGCGCTCCAATTGGCATTTTGGTAAAGAGTTTGTGTGCGGATTGCCCAATCCATCCGACCATACATGAGACATTGCTACATAGGGCGCTGAGTCGGAGCTATGCACGAAGACTTTCTCCCCGTCGAAGGAGATAGTTGGGATATCGCCCTTATGCAAGACCTCAGTGACAGGTCTATTACCCTCCTCCTCGACAATTATGTGCTCGCATGTGCATGTTTCCATGACATGCTTTGTTTGGTAAACCCTCTCATCTATCTGGTTTGCCAAGCACACCCTATCAGAGCACCTTGAGTGATCCTTCTTCAATGCAACCCGGTCGAAAGAACCAACATAGAATAATATCGCGGGCTCAGTGATACCCAACATGTCCAACTCCCCAAGACACCATCCGGCCTTTTGCAACAGGTACTTGCCAAACAGGCTATACTCCCAGCTAAGCATCTTCATCTTGGGGAGCGAGAAGACCACCCCAGCAAGCGCGTTATCCAACAACTCCCCGAGCAGAATCACCGAAAGCAACACCGCATGACCGGGCGGGTAGCCGAAGCCCGCATTCCAAGCCTCTTCACTCACCGCGCCGACAGATAACTTTGCGAGCCGGTTCGCCGTGGAATTAACCACAGAAAGGCACTCCTGCACGCGCGGCAAGTGCTCGGAATCGATCACCCAGCCGGGCACGCACTCCGCCGCCACCCACATCCACAGATACTTTGGCAGCATTTCCGTCGTGACGATCCACTCGTCGCCGGATTTCGCGACAAAATCTTCGATGTCCACTTTCACGCCTGCCGTGCCGAGGGCCTCGACTAGCGTGCCGAAGAATAGCCATGCCTGGAGGAAGGCTGCGTGGTCATCGAGGTCCAGATCCCCATTACAGAGGGCGGATATGTCGACCCCGACGCTGGATGGGTAGTCTTTGAAAACGAAGGTCCCATATGAGTTCTTGACCTTTTCGCATAGGAATGGGACTCGCAGCTGGGGCCGAACGGGGTTCGAGGCTCGGGGGAAGTGGTTCCTGCGGAGGGTTAGACTGGCGGGATGAAATGAGGGGCAAGGTTGTGCTTGTAGCTGCTTGTGATATCAGAATCCTCTTACATCTGAGCAAGATATTGCAAGAGCTTCCAGCTCTACGATACAGACGGGTATCCGCGGTAGTGTAGGTAAACTGATCGTACGCAGCCTCCCACCCGCCGCAGCTGCCCCTCGTACAGTTGAAGAAGGGAAGGTTACTCTCCTGTACCCTGGTATCGATTACCTAATCAGCCACCTCCTTGGTACGACCGAATCAGGCGGCTAAACCAAGCAGAAGGCGCCTACATCCTTCTTCCTCAAGTGCTTGTAGCTAACCCCAGGCAAACATCGCGATCGCCCGTTAAACTACCGGTAGTGCTTCTACAAGCACTTTTACTTGCACTACTACTACAGCACTTACTTTTTCGGACTAAACAAGACTAACCAAAAGTGCCTCCAACTAAACCTAGTGGCACTAAACTATTGCCTTTATCCCCAGGCTGTCTAGAACCTTGTTGCCAGGCGTGCAAAAAGGCAAGATCGGGCAGCAGCTGTTAATTAATTAGGTGTACGAGCACTTGGTCAGGAATCGGATGCTCAGTCCTTTCAGTTCTCAAATGAGTTAGCACCTTGGCATGTTTAGAAACATTCCAAGACAGGCTTAGCGTGCAATAAAATTTACAGTTTCAGCCAGCCCACCGGTACTGTAATTACCATACCTCACCACGCGACATTACAGTTGCATTTGACTATCATGGGCCTTATCAAAGTGAATCCGCTGATAATGAATGACAAGAGGAGAAAATCAGGATTTCCACCAGATTTTGTTCGTTTCAGTTAATCCTCCCCCTCCACCATTGTGTACTGTACACTCAATCCCAAGCTCCTCTTATCCCACACCCCTCCTAATAAGGAAGCCCGTTGGTCAATTCAAGCTTACCACAGTTCCACCCATCACCAATGCCAGTGAAATCTTGGGCTTGCCATTTTTCACGCCACCATACGAGTAGTGCTCACTTCTCCTTCTCCTTCCCACATTATACTGTGACTACCCCTCACAGCCAAGACACCCTTTAGTCATCACCACTATAGTGAACACCTACGGTAGGAACAGCAAATACCAAAAAAGGACCCAATTTTTCTCCTCCATCGCACCCCAAATCCACCCATATATACCATGCACCCCTGCAGATCGGAGGAATCGAAAAAAACGTCGTCGGATTCACCCAGTGGAGAAGAGGGGGGAACCTCATCGATATGATATGATATAACATGCAGTCACGACCATACTGAGACCCCCCGATATCCGGAATGGATGTGTGACTCAAAGCACTGAAAAAAATGAAAAAAAAAAAACAAGATCCCATCCGTACTTGTACCGGTATGTAATCTCGAGTGAGACCTTATGGCGGGTACAAGTACAAGTACCGTAAGGCAAACGCTGAGTTGATCGGGGAGATCCGGGGTAGGGTAAGAGAGAGACTGAAAACGACCCAATACGTCGCGACCAAAACTAGGAATTCGTTTTTTTGTTTGTTATCTCTGGACAACCACCGGCTATTTAATCTCTGTTTTTGAAAAAAGGTGGCATTGGTCAAGTAAATATCGTAGAGGTTGCGATCCGTTTTGGTTTGATAAAACTCGTGAGCGACTGACTCACTCACTCAGCTCACTCGTAGATACGGTGGGGTAGATATCGTAGCTCGTGAATCGAGAGATGGGGGGGAACGAGGGTAAAAAAAAAAGATTACAGACGGCGTCATGGTTCTACCCTACCGCTCGTATCACCCACACACTACACAAAAATGTATGATACTTGTATTTCCCACAGCGACAGAATGGGTAAAATAGGGACGACCTCAGCCACGCCCCCGAGAGAAACATGAAAAGTTCCTGCCTTCGAGATAAGCTGCGCACGGACGATTTGCCATAAAACTCGTAGTAGCAGGCGAGAAATGAGTAGAAAGAAAGAAAGAAAGAAAGAAAGAAAAGTAACCGGCAAGTGTCGTGAATCCATTGTGAGATATCGTACTCAATAGCAATAATTTTACCGGTACGATAATACATCTCGAGAAACGCCAAAACCGGTCAAATAGGGTTTCACAACGCAACCGTCCCTCTCTCGCGTCAGATGGGGTGCCAGTGCATCCCGATAGACTAGCCAACAACACCATCATGACCTCCTCACCACCGCGAAAGCACCGGAAGTTGTCCCACTGAAGATCCTGCGGAATATGATACGGCGCGAAAGCGTTTTGAAAAAAAAAGTTGCACCCGTGTCGTTGAATCATGGAATGCCTCTCCACTCCATCGGTCGGGGTAAAGGGGTGGATCCAGATCGTGCGATGGAAACAGTTCGGACAGAAGGCTCTAGGCTCAATTCTTGTATAATGATGATGTACTGTACTCGTACAATATTGGATACTTCTGTTTATTGTTATTTTCGCCTCAAAAATCCGTTACCCTATGTGTAGAATTCGCCTTGAATTTTCTTTCTGACAAAAATATAGTTCAGAATATTTCATTCAAAAATTTAATTATTATCGTGGTTGTCCCGGTGTTTTAACCCTTCGCTCTGACAAATACTTGTAGAAGGCTCGGGTGCACCATTTCGCCCATGGAAAGGCAGAGTCGACAGCAAGAACCAGTATCAAGTGGACTGGGTACCACTGCCGGAACAATCCCATAATACAAGTACTGTATTACAACACAGAACTCAAGCACAGCCTATAAATTATCTCTCACCATACTCCCCGACCCAAAACGTCATGCGAGAACCAAAATACAAGTACTAACCAGACACCCTACTCGAGCACAATAATACCCATGACCGATCTCAAGTCCTACTCAGGGAAGCGCTACCTTAAGCCTTTAATATATGATAGCAATGATATCATACCTCGAGCTTCCGGAATAATAAATAAAAATGCCCCTTCCCGGCGTCCGACGCGCACGTATCGCAACTCGATCGTGCCAAACAGGCTCGAGGAGAATAGTATCGCCATAGTATGATACCTGCTGTGCATAGCTTCAGCTATGAAAGAGCGCAAAAACGCGGACACCGCATTAGAGAAGAGCAGACTACGGTACTTGTACCGTAGACCAGGCACCGCGAGTGAGAAATGGTTACCATAGCGGATCCAAAATATCATACCCATATCAACTTGCACCTCCCATAAAGAAAAACAGAAAGCAGAATATCTCGTAACTAGCCATTTCCTACAAGTTCTTACTCGCGCTCAAGTACACAGTACGATGGTAGAAATCCCCGACAGAAACCGACTTAAATAATGGCCAACGCAGTTATATCATTACAGTAGTCTACTAGATAGACAGGGCATATCATCCAGCAGGACAACTATCGTATTTACTAACCTACACCGCCAATCCCACGAAACTTATCATCGCTCGTACCGTGCATGTTTACCGGTATTCGAACCCGGCCGCCAGGATCGCCATTTGATCTACAATCTGGAGCCCATCTACCGTACGGGAAAAAAGATATAGTTAGACACTACCAATCCCCACAAACCTCCACCATTACCACTCCAAACTCCATTTCGCCCACCAGTGCGACAGAGCAATAAATAGCGTTAGACTACCGGCAGTCGCTAATTGATACAACGGTCCGCTGCGCTCGAGCACTCAAACCGACTGCGACCGCAGAATCCACAACATCTCGTTAATCAATCATACCAGCCTATATGTAATATTGTAATCCACGAACCCATGGATATTCCATAAAGTGGGTCAAGTCGCCTTGCCCTCGCCATAACCATCTAGGCCTGTCATCCCACAAAGCCTGACACCTGCCACATCACTCAGTACTGTACCACCCCATTCCCATTCCCCCATCCTTCCATCCCATTACCCCACAACGACCACGAGCAGCCCGCTGATCTCACGATCCCTCACTCACCACAAGAACTGCACCATGAGCTGTTCATTCATTCATCCATACCAGATCCAGAGCTCCTCCCCAGATTCCCATCCCATCCACCTCGCTTGCTCATCTTTTCAACGTTCAGTTCAAGCACTCGAGCAATACCTACATCCACCGGTACCTACATACCCTACCTTCCATCCGAGCCAAGTTTTCACGCAAAGATATGCAGTTGATCGATGCGATCTGTTGGCAAGAGAGACAGGACTTTTGCTTAACGTGCATATATGTATGCATGCAAACATGCATACACACCCATTCCCTGTAAATTCATCTTGGTAAGGCGAGACTTGTTTCTTCCGTTTATCGACCCTCAAAAGCCACTTCACTTCACTTGCACACGACAGCAAAAAGCTTTTTCTCCACCCCCAAAAACAAATTTAATTCTTTATAAACCTTCAGCTCTCCAAACCTCTCCCCTCCCCCACGCACACACACCACCCAACCCCTGACCTGGACACGGACGTACGGTTCCAGAGTTGAACAGACTACAGTCATAACACAAAAAACAGCAAAACAAAAAGGCACAGACAAAAGCTCAAAACGGAAGAAATGATCGCCACATTAACTCCGAGATTCCCCACAACGAAACGAGACACTACTGACCACAGCGCACAGGATATTCTCCGCTCAGGGCAAACGCGCGCACAATGGTTAGTTTCAAACCAGCGAACTGGGAAGAATAAAAAGCAAACCGCGAGGCAAAAAGATTGAAAAGGATCGATGAATGAGTAGAAATAAAGATAGAAAGAAAGAAAATTCCCACCATTTATTCATAAATCGTTGAAAATGAAAGAAAAAAGAGTTGGCAGATGTTTAACATGTTGAGTAAAAGAAACTATGCGACAGAATAAAAACCGAGCTGGTGAAACAAAAAAGCAAAGACTGCGGAATGAGCGATTGATATGATTCGAAAGATAAGCGAAATTTGTGCCCCGGCGCCTATTTGTCAATCCAAACTAGACATCGAATAAAACAAATTGGGAAGAATCAGCTGAAACAAAAAAAGATCGCGAATACAAAACCAAGAACACTGTGAGCACATCATCTCGAAAAATCTTCCGTGGAAAAGAAAAAAAAACTATAGATCCCAATTTCATTTAAAATTGCCAAGTTGCGCAAAGACCTCATCCAAGCAGACACCCCCACCCTAGCATGGAACTTTAACTAAAGGTCGCGTTCCTCGTCAAACCGGGTGGATATCCCGAATAATGGGGGTCGAGGCCCGCTCTCCGGGAATGGGTGTTATAAGTGTGAGATCGCGACACCCCAGGCGATGCAAATGTCTCGGAACCGAGTTTAGGAGATTGGTTGGGCGAGTGGTGTGAGTGATGGCGTCCATGTGGCCGTGGTGGTGTGCTATGCGGCGAGTGTGATGAGTGGGGGTGATTGCTAGGCGGCGAGTGCGATGAGTGGGGGTGGTTGCTAGGCGGCGATCCAAAGTGCGATTCGACGGTGCTACTGGTAAAAAAGGGGATTCCGGTAACCTTCTGGACAAACTCTGGGGGCAGAGTAGTCCCAATAGGCTCGGCGGGGTGAATCGAAGGAGATGTCGAGCCAGGAGCCCGACGAGATTGGTATTGGTGAGGGCCATGAGGTAGGGGACCAGTTGTATGCGGGATAGGGCCTTGGGGAGGAGCTGTCCCGGGGCCCGGGGCAGGAGCGTCGTCCTCATGAACGTAAACCTCGAAGGTGAACCGTCTCCAATTGCCAGAGCGATCGTAACTGCGATTGTCAGCAGGGGGGAAAAGGCTAACAAAACTTTGGAAATAACACATACCCTTGGTGGACCTCGGTTGCGGCTCGCGTGGCCCCCGGCATCTTCTTATCAGCAAGAGGTGTATCTGTTGAGGGACTTGAATAGCCGGAATCACACGGAATATCTCGTTGCATGCGTTGAGTCTGTTTTTCGATGCTGGGACTAGAGTGTCTCCGTCTCGGGCCGTGATTACCATTGGGATTCAGAGGGTGAGAAGTGGGGTAGGTGGGGTGCGGAGGGGCCGAAGACCCGTACACATAGGCAGGTCTCTTCATTGGCGTGGAGGGAATATCCTCTCCGATTTTCGAAGCCGTGGATGATGATCCTCTGCGCATCGGCGGTGATTTCGACGACTTGCGTTCCCGACAAGGCGGGACATCAGTACTTCTTCCCAATCCACTACCCTCCCTCAGTCTTTCCCTCAATTCAGCCTGTTCAGCCCGTTGCCTCATAATCTCTTCCTCCTCCTCTCTCAGTTTACGCTCCCTCCTCTCTTTCTCAAGCCTAGCCTTTTCCCTTTCCCTTTCCCGTAGCTTCTCCGCTATAGCAGCCTGTTTCATCTCATCCGACATACCTCCAGATGTCTCCTCCGTCAACTTCCTTCTAATTCCATCCAACTTTGCCTTTTCGGCAGCCTTCATCTCAAGATAACCGGGTCGTACCGCTTCCTGGGTAGGTTGTGGCTGTGATTCGGGGGGTCTTGGGATATCACGAGTTGACAGTGGAGGCGAGTGCCTGGGCATATCTCTGGACGATAGAGGGGGCTCTCTGGGAATATCGCGAGTGGAACGTGGCGACTCCCTTGGAATATCACGGGCGGAAAGCGGTGGCTCCTTGTGATGATGTGATGAGGGGCCATAAGAGGCCTTTCTCGGTGACTCTTCAGGATATCGTTGGCTATAGGACTTGTGTCTTGAAGATTGCTCCTCTGGGTAATGTGGATGACCCTCGTAGGATCTTGAAGTAGGTTCGGAGTGCTGATGACGATACGAAGACGACTTTCTCGGTGATTCCCGAGGGTCCTCAGCGTGTCTCGATGATGGTTCCTCCCGAGCCCTCCGATCCTCCTCCCTTCTCCTACTACTCCTGCCATGTCCCCTCTCCTTATCCCGCTCTCTATCCCGATCCCTATGTCTCTCTTCCGACGACTGACCACCACTACCACCACCCCCACTCTTGGATGGTCCAGCGGCAGCCGCCGCCGCCGCCTTCTTCACCTCGTCGTCATATTTTCGCCGGCGGCGACTATCAATGAGTAACTCGTAGGCTTCTTGGACCTTTTGAAACTGTACCGCCTTCTCGGCACGAAGCGACTCGTCGTGCACCTTGTCGGGATGACACTGCAAGATGAGTTTTTTGTACGAGCTTCGAATAGCCGCTGGAGCAGCATCTTGAGGGATTCCTAGAATTACGTAGGGATCTGTAGTCATGGTGATCGTCATGATTGCGATATACCCGGGCCACTGGTTGACAGGAGATATTATGATTACCTCTATGGAGATGAGTACGGGTGATGGAGGCCAGTTTGACAAAGAACGTTGCTGTGTAAAGAACCAAGGAAATAGAAAAAATGAACAAACACAATGAACGGCTTAGTCTTCGATAATGTTTTTGGTTTGGTCTTGTCGGTCGACCAGTTTATTGTTGCCGATGTTAAAGAAGTTGTAACCAGCGGCAGAATAGATTGGCGATTTACCGAGATGTTGGTTCTATACGAAAGAATGAATGACTATGACATTCGTCAAGGAAACTTATTGACGATCTACGGTCAATAATGAAAAAGGGTTCGTCTCTCTTTTTTTCTCTGCTCCTTTGAGGAGGGGGCTGTGCTGTATCGCGCTGAGCTATAAGCGTACGTAAACGTGGTCGAGATACTGGGTGGCTCGCAGAACCGTGAGAAAATGACGACGACCAGGTGAAAAGAAGTGAAGGGAACGCAATGGAAGTATCAAAGAAAAAGGAGAAAAACGGAAGAACAAGAAACCGACGGGCAAACTAGGCCAGAAGGGTTGTAAATATGAAGTATAAAAAATAAATAAAAAAAGCTTCGCCCTTCGCCACCTATCACACACTCACTCGATCGAAACTCGCTTGTGTAATAACAAGGGCGTTAACTCCGTTTCCGAAAGTAGGCAAACGGACAAACGGTCGGAAATTTGATGACAAGCTCGAGCAGAGATGGGGCAGATTTGCTTTGAAGGGTGAGAGGGAATTTAAAGTGTAATGGATGGACGGATTGCAAGTTAATGCAACCGGGTAGATGGGGGGTGAGAGGGAGGCAGAGGTTGAGGGAGATTCGGTGCTGACGAAGGTTCAAGTAGTAGGGAGGGATCAATGTTCCCAGCAACAACCAACGCGACAGATACACGCTGCAATGGAGGAAGCAGCGAGAAGTAGAGAGAGGGAGAAATAGCAGCGAGGGAAGGGAAGAGCGAATCGAGAGGAGGTGAAGAGAAAGGGCGGACCGAGTTGTTTGGTTTCGGTGTAGAAGGAAGAGGAGAGGGTGAGGGGAACGAAGCGGTCCGCTCAGGGGGGAACGGGGAGAAAAGCAATGGGAGGGTAACGGTGATTGCAACTCTCACACACTCTCTCACCCTCTTCTTGGTGGGGAAGGCAGTGGGTGGGTGGTGACTGGTTGGAGGTGGATGATGGATGCACCGGCCGGTACTCGAGCAGAGCGGGGAGGGGGGTTCGAATGGTACTCGAGTACCAAAACCAAAACCGAAAGGGATGGGCACCGAGAGAGAATGGGGGGAACAAAAGGGACCAGATTACAGAGAAGCAGTCGAAGGAATATCTAGACAATCTACTGGGAATAACGATAATACAGTATGATAACACCAACACTACTGTACCCTACAGTATCATACTAAAACCGACACTACAAGATTAACATATGATACCGTCTGTACCAAAATGCGACAGCAAATCATAAAAAGGCCCCTCACGCAGCGCGCGAAGAAGGGAGAAAATAAATGTAAAATCTATAGCACAGTCCAAGCAAGAGCAACAGCAAATAAAGGGGCGGAAGATAAAGCAGAGTGATGGTAGAACTAGTCTAATGAATGTATTCCCATACAGGAGAGAGTGAGAGTGATAGTCTACTCGAGTAGATTCCCTCGTTCTCACACACAATCTCTCCCTATCATACCTCTGCCCTCTTCCCCCTTCCAAAAAAAAAACCAAAAAAAAAAACAGACACTCCTGAGCACTCTAATGCAGAAGAACGCAGACGAATTAGACGGACGATTAGCCCAAAGTTCGAAAAAGCATTAGACCGAACATCGTCAACCCACCCCACCGTGTGCATCTGCACTTCACTCAGGAAAAAGTTACACCGAAAGAAGCAGAAGTGGAAGACAAGACAGGATTCCAAGGAAAAAAACAAAAGTAGCACCACCCTTTTTTTCCCTTTCCTCGTGCCATGATTGGCTCCACAGCATCCCTTCTGCCTTTCTCATTTTTTCATTTTTAATTTTTTCCCCCTTCCACTCCCTTGCTGAGAGGTTCGCCCCCCACACCCACTCCACAGAAAAGCATGATCTCGATTCCCACTAGTGATGAGTTGTTCAAGAAGGCTATTCTCCCATCCATCCAGCATCTTCAAACGATCCACCATCCATTCAGAAGGATGGGAGGGAGGGAAGGTATCTGGCATTTAAACAACGATAATATACCCAATAGGGAAATTTCCATTTATCTTAGTTAAATCGTCGAGAAATGCGAGGGCAAAACGGAAATGAATAGAAATAGGAAAGAATAAACATTGCACCACGGGCGGGTAAGAGTAAACCGAAACTAACGCTGCCCATCTGACATCTCATCCCAATCCAGAATCCTTCCACAAGAATCCTTGGCATTGGTGGGGGAAACAGGAGGAGAGCGGGGAGGGGGAGGGAAAGCAGGACGTAGGCTAGGGAAACAGTGAGAGGGGCGGATGAGGAGTGAAGGGAGTACCGGTGCCGTACGAGTACGAGTAACATACAAGTGAGCTATGATAGCTGGGATGATGGATAAGTGGCTATCATTGGTACCGGTAGTCGCTTGGAAATTCCTGATGATACGGGAATATACGTATCCATGAGAACGGCACGGTGCATCATCACCTTCCCTTCCCATTCAAGAAAATCAATCAAGAACCCGATCGCGCGAGGCTACCGGTAGGAACCAAGTTTGGGCTACAATGGTATTTGGTGGTATGTGCTTCAGAATCTGTGGAGCACCGCACAGCAACGTGAATTGTGAGGGTGGGTTCATCCTATTCCACGTCCAGCCACCACCTCGCTTCCCACGATATGATATAGCAGATACCGGTATTCCAACCACACAAAAGACCAAACTCCCTCACGAGAACCGAAATAACGATAAGTTAGCAAAAACGAACTCACAGGTGACAAGTCCCGTGGTGATGGCCCGAACCATTTATTTAAACTACCGATATCACATCTCTTCTCGAAGCATGTCATCCATCAAACCATCATCCCCCCCTTCCCTTCCTTGGCCCCGCCCCATCTCTTCCCCCCGTTCGAGTGTGGATTGACCAGAAAAGTACGGGTACTCGTACCGCACGGCAGCAAAACCTCAAAAGGAAGGAAAAAGAAAAGGAAAAAGGGAAGCCCCACATGACCCTATCAGGGACGAAACCAATAACGTATCGCAACCCCGGTACCAGAACAACGCATCGCATGAACTGCCCGAACTAACCTCATTGACCTTTCTTCGCGCACGAGCACAATCAAAGAGACCATTCCGCAAACAGTTATTTATTGATGGTTCCGGCAAACTTACCCCGCACAAAGAGTGTCCCGGGCCGAACCTGTTTCTAGGACAACGGCGGGGGATAGGGATGGGCGGTGAGGAGTGTGATGGCACAGGGTTCGGGATTCGATAAGGATTGGGGATTAACCGAAGAGAGTCAATTGGAATGACGTTACGTGAGACCAAGATCTACGCGTGATTATTCGGGTGTTTGGACGGATTAACCAACCGTGTTTGTTCGGTTTTGACAATGATTCTCCGGGAGCTCAGCTTGTCTTTTTTGTTCAGCACTTGTTCGAGTGGTGCAGTACTACCGTACTACTGTACTAGTACATTCTCACAACTTGCGGAGTACTGGTACCGTGACTTGTCATACTGTACTGGAGCACCGGTGGAGGAGAGTGGTGAGGCGAAAATGGAGAAGGAGGTAACGAGGGGGTTGTTTACTCGAGAAGAGCACGACCTAAATTCTACTATTTTTGGAGGACAGTGTGCTCCCCACGATCCCCCCCACCCATCCACGACTGGCACCACGGCGGCACCACATCGTGCCTGAAAGTGCTATCCGCAGCCAAACGCTACGAGTATCCCATCCCACATCATCCATCCCCATCTCAGCATGACCAGCCTATATTGCAGACCCCTACAAAAGTTCTAACGCACCGCCCTGCCTGATTGCTGCGGTACCTAGCCAGTGCAAGACAGGAACGTAACATGATCACCCCAAAGTATCCACCACCCACACGGCCACTCCTCCACCGAACCCATAGCGGGGGGTATTGTGCCGAGCACTTGAAATCCACTAAAACGCCAACACAGTATAATGAAAACGGTTTTTGGAAAAAATTCCAACCAAAAGCCACACCTTCAAGAGGAGAGAAGCGATATCGCCTCATGGAAATGCCCAGAAGACACATTCCGGTTCCGCGTTTCCCGATTTTCAATAAGTCCAATACGGTATTGGTGGAGACGGGCAGCACCTCGAATTCGCTGCGCCCATGCATGGCCCCCTCTCTCTGAGCCCCGGCTTTTGCACGAATTATATAAGCAAGGTTTAATTACCCGTGAATGTTGATCTCTTCGCGCCCTGCGCTGTGGTTCACCCGGGAGCCCCGCCCCGGACATGCGATGAACAACTGTACCATCTTGGCAACAAAAGAGATGTACTGTACTAGTACGGTACTGCACCCTTCCCCGGTTCTCGACACAAAACGCAAATAATTTTCAATAAAAAAAAATAAAAAAGGGTTATACTTTCTGGTAGAGAGGTTACCCCAACTAGGAGGTTCTCCAAAATCCGAGAGCAGAAGACCGGAATCCGCGCCGGGATGGCTAACTCGTATGGGGATTTTCGCATAGCAATTGAGTAGGCTACCGGTAGCTTCGAGCCTCCGTGTCAGTATCATACTTGGGACAGCAAGTGGGGAGTTGGGAAGAAAAAAAATACATACCATAATGCTAAAAGTCCCCCCTCATAGGCGCTACTCATACCGCCAGGGCTTGGACGAACGAACGGGATTTGTCATTGCTGTTTCCGGCACTGCAGTTAATTGGAAATCAGAATTGTGCATCAAATACAAAAAGCCCCTTACTCGTACAAACAGCGTAGACTACTCGAGCAGACCAGGCCAGACTAGACCAGACTGGGCTAGACCTACAAAGTAAAAAAGAACCCAAAAAAACCCCATAAGTTACCAGTATCACAACATGAACAATAACAACAATAACAACAATAACAACAACAACAACAACAACCATACGGTAATGCACCAGCACACCAAGCATGTCATACCGTATCTCAACGCAGGCACCCAGGGCAGGCGTACTGTACCTACTTACAGTAGAGTACGAGTTACAGATGATCAACCAGTACGGCATCATATCATACCCAAGCACGGCGAAATCAAAACGAACCAAAATATCGACAACCACGTCCCTCCCTCCCACACACACACCTACACGCAGCACACACACGCACGCACGCACACACAACTCATCGCATATCATCGCATAAGGCTACCAATCCACTCCACGAGAAAAAATATACATGTATCATATATATATATATATATATATGTAAGCAAAACCGTATATATAACCCCATGGATGTATACGGTATACATCGCGTTTATCGGTGATTGCCCTGCCCCCTCCAAAGCCTTATCATTATATACCAAGACGGATATATCATACAGCGAAACTGAATGGATAAATAAATGAGTTGATGCTAGCGCCTTGTTTTCTTTCCTCTTCATAGCCCTGTTTGCGAAAAGTTCCACGTACTACTCCTTACTCCGCGACTGCATGTACAGTACAGTACGTATGGTTACCGGTTAGCGCGAGATGAGGTGAAACGGAGATTGAGGTATGATGGTTATGGAGATTTGGGCTAGTGCATTGTTATATCATGGTCATTGATAGAAAAGAGGGTTTTTGAAAGATTGGTCCGTTGAAGATTTTGGTTTTCTTTTTTTCTTTTTTATATATTTTGCTTCTGGAATGAATTGTGCTATGATAACATGGACGCGATCCGTGAGGTGGTGGCTGATTGGTGCTCGTCTGCTCTGGTGTGATGATAATTACATTAACCTACCGTACCGTGTCTTGTATTGGACCAGCAGCAGCTCTCCGTCCGAGCAAAAGAGAAGAAAGAGGAACAAGACAAGACAGTAAGTAAGGCAACACGCCAATATCACAATACCGATAATGATTCCAGAACAGTGGCGAAGAATGATAACCTTATCACTTTATGCGATCAATCAATCAATCAATCAATCAATCAATCAACCCGCACGGCCCGTTCGTTCGTCCCTTCGTCGATCCCCCCACGGTACGCCCAACTTTGTTTTTGTGTGGAATTGACTCTTTTCTTGTTTTTATCATAGCACTCCAGCACCCGTCAAGGCCTTGAGTCGAATTAGGGTATTTGCTCAGGGTCCGTTCCACATTATTCAGAAATAACTCATCCATTCGAGTTAGCGGATGGGAGGAAAAAAAAAAAGAAAGAGGGCGGGGGGAATTGTTGGGTTGTAGCTTAAGGCTAACTAACTAACTTGGACTAACTAACTAACGCGCTCTCTCGCTCTGCTTACTTGTATGTGCGCAGGGCGACTTGGTCTGCGGGATTATATTGTGGGGGGGGGGGTGTATCGAAAGCTTATGATACCAGTACCGACCCCGGTACTGTACTGTACAGTACTTGTACAAATGTACTGTACAGTACTTCCATCATGGTATCGTAACAGGACTGGTATGATAACTTTGTCTCTCCCATTCCGATCCGGGTCAACTGGAGAGTTATTTATCGGTATGATACTTTCTTCTTCCTTCCGTACCCGAAGACAAGGATTAAAGAAATACCGGTACTCGAGTACGGGTACTGTACAGTACTGTACTCGTACTTCGTGCAAAATAATATTATTACCCCCCACCTCGTTTTTCGGGTACTTCCGGCCTATGACTATTCCCCGCGGCTCCTACTGTACCGGTATTGCCACAGTGCTATAACTTTCTTTTCACAATACGGTACTTAAACCACCGTAGTTCTTCAAGAACAATAATAAGCTTCCGAGTGAGTACTGTACAGTGCTGTATCTGAGCCTCTCGCAACAACATCATAACTCGAGTGCAATGGGGAATTAAAACCAATCCATCATACGGTATATCACGCTAGCAAGCAGAAAAAAAGTCCCACCGTCCACCACCACCCCTCTTTTTCGATACACAACGCGAAGTAAGCCTATCTATGTAGTGTAGTGTACAGTACCCCGGACAAACCCCATCCCTCTATCCATCCATTCACATCCCTCAAACAAGACAAAAACAAAAACAAAAAAAAGATGGAAACATAAAACAAGTATGAGGAAACAATCCAGCCTAGCCTTCAGCCCTCCATCCCCGCATACGGGCGTGATACATACTAAAAACTCCGGAACACACCCTCACTACGATACGAGTAATCATGATAAAAGTGCCGTGCGGTGGTGTACTGTACACAACCCCACACATATAATACGATAACAACGAACAAACCGGAAAGTACCACAGAGAACAGACACATCTGGCCCTCAAAAAAAAAAAAGAAAAGAAAGAAGAAGAAAAAGAAAATACCCCGTAGCACACAGCACCATCGTACCGGAATACGTACTTGTACTTCTTCTCTCCGGCTCAAAGAAATCACAAAGAATCACTCGAAACTCCCTCCTCATCGCCGGAAAAACTAACCCCCCGACCAAAGTAAAGTAGTTCCAACAGGTATCATGATCCGACCGGCTATGATACACAATCAATCGTCCACATACGATACCAACCAGCAACCCCCTCCCTACGCACAAGCACACAGACCATCCAGCCAGCCAACCAACCAGAGACCCCAAGAGTGCAATACTCGGGTGGGGAGGTTGATCCGTGAGCGGCACCATTCGTATTGCCCGAACCGCACCTTCCGACGAATCAAAAATCGTCGAGAGCGTTCGTGGAATTTCTTCCCTTTACGAATCGATCCTAGTCGCCCATATCGGAAACGGCCCCGTTCATTGGGAGTTTGTCGACGGACTGACCCTGGTATCCGGGTGCAGTACGGTACGTACGGTACAGCACTTTGAGTGCGGTACCACCGCTCACGGAAAAAGGCTTCGGGAAACGGAATCCCTATTTGCCCGTTGAACGGGCCTCCTCCCACAACAGGCCGATCGCGCGATCGACTCCCCGTGATCTCCGTCCGAGGGGGGCTCCGCTTCGCGAAGGACTTTCTGCCGAGTGAGTGTGGTGTGGTATGGTGTACCGTACCGTGCATACATTTATCTACGTACTTTAGAGGGGATATGGAATATTGTAAATGAGGATGAGAACTCACCGCTTCTCCTTCTCCCCCCTTCCTCCCACTCCCTCGCATGTATTCGAGTACATTTCAATGTAATATCGCGGAACGGCTCTTATCACCTTTTCTCTGCCTTCCGGTTGGGAGCGGCAATGTTACCTTAACGGTACTGCACTGTACTAGTACTGTTTATCATACCAATGGACCCAGCTAAGGCTAAACAT